TTGCTCATCAGAGAAATGGGCTTGAAATGTAAAATATGACATGAATCTGAATTTTTAATTTTTTTTTCAGAATATCTAATTCAGTGTGTTACACTTTTATCCATATTTATCCAGCTTATTATCCAACTACTTACCTGTATGAGTGAAATTGTCGTTTTCTTTTTTTTACTCTGTCTCGTCCATTTCTTGAAACAGCTGAAGGTAAATTTATATTTAATTATATTTATCTTAGCAAACACTTTTGATTATTAGAGGTCATTGAATAATATTTTTGAATCAATTATTTGACACACAATTCACTTTAAAATGTGAGTAATATTCCAGTTGAATAAATCATGTGTGTGTTAATATTTTATGAACATTTTCAAACTGAATAACTGTAAATAATGTTTTCATTGAATTCTCAGCTCCATCAGTCTTCAAAAATTATAATGTATCCATCATTATAGAATATAGGTACTTAATATAAGTAATTAAGATGAATTGCTTGTTGCCTTGAATAATTGATTCTCAGCTAACTATACAGAGGAAACTCTTTATGCAGATTCCTTCTTTGTACGTAGGAGTCAGGAGATGTCAACTGCCTTTTCAATTAGAAACCCTTGCCGCCTCTATCCTCCACACAAGTTGCTTCCGAGGTTTTGAGTCCACAAGGGAGAAGTAGAGGAGACTGAAAATGTGCAGGGAGCAAGTAGATGCATATCATTTGACTTCCAGCTACAGAGTTTAGTAGGATAAAATGAGAATTTCTGAGAGCTGGCTCCACATTCTCCTTGAGAATCCTTCAAACAGAACCCTAGTGCTAAAGGATTGGTGTAGAGGTCTTTGGGGAGGTGGCTCAGGCATCTTACAAATATTTGTTATTAAGTTGTTATTAATCTCAATTTTGATTCAGTTCATGCCTTAACACCTATCATACCAATGTCTGAAACCCACTAGTACCTTTTGGCATTGCTGCAGTACAGTTAAGAAATAAGGTATGCATTTATGACTAGGGGCACACTGATAAATTTGTTCTTGGCTGATACCAATGGCTGATTATGAACCAGCCATATTGGCTGATACCAATCTGATAGCCAATTTATAGGAATGCAGCCTGGCAGCTTGGAGAGCAGTCTCCTGCTGCTAAGTCTGTGAGGGGGGAAGGGTTGGGGAAAAGGGAAGGGGCATGGAGGGGGGCAGATTGAAGCCCCCATGATGAGGGAGAAAGTGGGGCAGGGGCATGTGCTGCCCAGCCAGGGCATTGAATGAGACCCCTGAAGCAGGATGGAGCCACAGGTGGCTCTTCTGGGAAGGTGGGAAGGTGGGGTGGCTCCCTGCTGCTGTGTGTACCCCCAAGGGAGGCCTGTGCCCCCGGGATTTTTTCTGTAGGGCAAGGGCAGGCTGTGAGCTTCAGTCCAGATGCTGCACCAGTCTATTCCTGGTGGGGGGTGGGGCTGGGCCTGGGCTGCACTTGGGGTGGGCAGATGGTAGCAGCACTGGGCGGGGTGGCTATAGCCCACCCAGTGCCACCTGTCCCAGTGCCACCACTGCCTGCTCAGAGCCCAGCCCCGGCCCAGCCTCCCTGTACCCCCTGGCTGTGGGCTTACAGTGGACATCCTGCCCACATGTCCCCCTACCCCACCCCCCACCATGCGCTCCCTGGCAAACTTGGAAGTGCTTCTGGTCCACTTCTGGGTTTGCTGCCAAGTGCTCTGGGGACTGCCCCCACGCTCCTGTGCGACACTTCATCCACCCCACCATCTCAGCATTCACAAGCCACCTGGTATGTTGAGGTATATAGAAAAAACATTTAAAGTTGTGTCTGTCATTGAACCTTTCTGAATCTATTTGGAGAGATTAAAGGGTCTCCTGATTCGATT